TCAGGAAATGGATGATGCTCCTCTCTGAAGATGGTGCTGAATGAAATGAAAGCGCTGAGATGGGCTGAGGAGAGGAGAGATAACGGGGTCCAGGACACTTTGGATGTGGAGGCCTCTGAGACAGACAGTCTAGGACCTTGCATTGCAGTGGTCAGCCAGAGACATCAGAATGAATACTCACATTGGAATTTAAACTGTCCTCTCTGGTTACCTATGGTAAATTGAAAGATCATGCAAATGATGAAGGAGATTATGCACATTGCTGCTGAATTGCAGACTCCACCTACAGTAACCCTTTCTCTGCAACACCAGCAGGGACTCCTTTTGCACTTGGGCCACAAGCTGACTTTTCAGACCAGCATTTGTGGTAGTAAACACATCCTTCACCAGCCCACAGCGACGAGTCCACAGCAGCTCCCAAAAGGGGTCTAGTGAGAAATCTCTATTTGTGCAATGACACAAAAAGTCTGCATCTGGCCTTATTATGATTCTTAAATTGGTGGATATTTAAAAATAGAAGTGCTGATGCTGAGCTATGTTCCACAAGCTTGACATAATTGAGGTAAAGTCAAAACTCTCAACACACCAAAAGCCACAGATACACACTGGCTTGGCTCAGGCCTTGCTAGTGTGGAGGCAGAATCACCGGTGGGGAATCACCAGGTATCTCATAAGAGGACTTTATACATACTGGGGAGTGTCCTCCTTAGAATCTAGTTTATTCTTTGCTTTTTCATACATTTAACTCTTAAACATTTCTTTAGTCATGTATTGTTCATAAGGGTGGGATGAGCTCATAAACTATTCTAGAATAGTGAGAAATAGGAGTAAAGGTCACTATAGTGATTGCAGAAATAGTATGTAGAACATTTATTACCCTTCTTTACTCATATTTCCAGTTTTTCATCTATAGAGTGAGAATACTATTGACATATGTGCATGTGATCCACGTGTATCTGTATTCACATCACTGTCCTCTCGGTCATCTATCACCTACCTACATTTCTCTACCTTCACTTTGAGACAAGGACCCCACTCCCCAAGCAGGCCTTGAAGAGTTGGATACACTTTGTTCTCTGTAAGGTAAAAGGAGATGTCAAAGGCGGAGTGTAGAATTCAATCTGCCTCAGTCCGAATGCTGTGTCTGCCTTCTAGGGGCACCGTGAACACATCCAGGCTGTTTATTCTTTCTCAGCCATGTTTGTGCATCTGAAAAATGCAAAGAATAATACATCTGTCCTGTGGTTTTATGAGATTAGGGGTGTGTGTGTGTGTGTGTGTGTGTGTGTGTGTGTGTGTAAGCACTGGATACTGAGCAGGCACTGAAACCCTGTGTGAAGTACAGATATGACCAGGTAGTGCCCTGGCCAGAGACAGGACAAAGTGGCCATCCCAGAAGTGTTGTTCAGGCTTATGCTCTTTACTACTCTCTCTCTGTCTCTGTCTGTCTCTGACTCTGTCTGTCTCTCTCCTTTCTCTCTCTCTCTGTCTCTCTCTCTCCATCTGTCTGTTGATATCTTTTGTTTGGTTGGGTGTTTTAGTTTTCCTTTCCACTTCCAGCCTCCTCAAAGTATGCATATTTGTAAAGAAAAGGCACAGACAGCACCACTACTTTTTCTACCACGTGGCCACATCTCTTTCCGGTTTTCTAACAGCATATCTCGCAACCATAGAGACTCTAAACCCTGTTGTCCCTTAATCAAAAAACAGAAAAGAAGCACCTGAAAGAGGGTCTACTCAGGAGTGATACTGCAGCGACTCGCAGCAGTCATGCTCGATGCCAGCTTGTTGGGTCAATCAGTGTCACTGAGAAATGAGAGTGGAGTTGTGAAATCACAGAGCACTGTGGACGTGGCATGCACTGCAGGCAATGTAGAGTGCATGTGCAAGTGGCAGGGTTACACAAATCGAGCCCAGATGCTGCTGTGGCTTATCTGCCCTTGGACAGTATCTATTCAGGGGGCTCAAGCTCTCCGTCTGTAGGATTCCTCCACCTTTCTGACAAGTGATTTCTGACAAGTCTCATTCTTATGAATTTCACTCATCTCATGCAGAAAGTCTGCTCTCCAAGCTGCAGGAGTTTGGTCAGCTTGGACGAGGGCTCTGTGGTTCAGGGAGTGACTCCGGCATGCAGAACGCCTGTGAGACCTCTGCTTCTGCTTCCACGTGTCTCCCCTCCTCGTGCCTTCCTGCCTTGGTGGCCCCATAGACCCTGTTCTTTCTTCCGGTTGTTACCTGTGTGCCTCCCTTGGAGCCTGAGTGGGCTTTTGTGCCTCTCTTCTATGACTGGCAGGATTGCCTACATGTTTCTTCCAAAAGAACAGGTGCAGGGAGTATATGTCTCTGTGTTGTTCTTCAAGCGAGTAGAGAAAGGGTTCCGTTTTATGGTCAGTGTTACACCAAAATGAAGAGACCTCGACAAATCCTAACCGTGGAGGAAAACCTTAGTCATTTGTGAGAAGAGGACAGTCTTTCACTGATTCTAGCTTCTCCGTCCCCCCAATTCCATGAAGCACGCTCCGTGATATCACTGTAAGTGTGAGACTGATGCACATGGTGTTCCCTATTTGTGAGTATGCATGCGCACATGTGTGTGTGCGTATGTGCATGTGTGGTGTGCATGTGTGTGTTTGTATGTTAAGGGTTGGTTTGGCAAATACAAAACCAAATGAGAAATAGTAATCTTAATTTTTAAGTCACTTCACAGGAATAGGTGCCAAAACACACAGGAAAATTTAAGTTTGAACATTTCCATTGAAGGTCATTTTCTCTTCTTCATAGAATGTCATAATTTCAGCAGAATTTGAGTCTAAGTTTGGCTTTTAGATATTTTATGTGGATGTGGAGCTGTCAGTCTGTTGTGAAGCATGCCAGAATTTGAAAGTGTGAGGCTGGGATTTCAGGTCGCCAGCAAGTAAGGTGCTATAGAAAAATAGGCCAAAGAGCCATGTGTTGGTTCTGGATGATAGGCATAACGCACTTCTCGATTCTAGGACAGTTGCAAGTGCTGTGAAGTTTGGAAAGAGCACGCTTGCCCCATGGGTTGGGTCATACACAATCTGTCTTCTGGGCAGATGCGCGCTGTTCATATACAGGGGTCTACATCGGCCCTTATTTTCTGAGTATGTTGACAGTTTCCCTTACTGCTTCTTTCAACTCTGAAAAAAAGAAAACTTTTCTCCACATGGTGCCCAGCCAGATGCTGACGGAGGACATACCAGTGACCTCCACTGCTTCACTGAACCTTCTTTTAGGTGAAATGTGACCAGCCCATCAGAAGTTGCATGAGCTTAGCTTTCTGGCTGGGGTGTGTCCCTGGGAGCAGGGCTGGCTCACACTGCCTCCGGGACACTGGACTTCAGGAAAGACGGGACTGGGAAGGGAGATTTACGCTGACTCCAGTAACCCCAGGGGAAAGCGCTTTCAGGCCTGCACTCTTAGTCCACCTTTGGGTGGAGCTGGCCAGGCACGTCTTGCACCCTTCCTGAGTGAGGGCCGGGGGGTGCTGCTCCCCTGGCCAGGCACGTCTTGCACCCTTCCTGAGTGAGGGCCGGGGGGTGCTGCTCCCCGGGACATGGACAGGGTGCAACTACTGCGGTTTCCTCCTCTGTCCACTCTGCATTTCCTCTACTTCTATTAGGTTCTTTCCGTCCTTTCCTCTCCAGTTTGAAAACCGTAGCATCTTGAGGCCGTAAAGCATGGCCTTGTGTGTGGTCACGTTCACTCTTACCTTTGCAGTCTAATTTATTTTCATGACCGAGAAGCCCTTTTAGCTCTGTTCTGCCTTTTAGCTCCGACCGCACCATAGATCTCTGGCCACCTGTCCTTGATTAACTGTCCTGACCCAGGGCAGTGAGCTTCCACAGTGGAGGGAAGGACGGTATTCTACAGATGTGCGGCATGAAATAAGGAAGTCCACTTACTGTATTTTCAACAGTGGTTTTGAGGGGGCAGCTTTCCTTCAGACAAAGCCATAGAAATAGCAGGAAATGGACTGACTTCTGGAAGTGTTGCTTTCCAGTGTTTGCCTGGCTTATCCATTACCTGGGGGAATTTAACTGTCTTTGGTCCAAAATCTAAATTCTTTCCGTGGCTTTCACTGGCCCCAAGGGAAGTTAACTCATGGAGTTTTGATTCATAATCAATAACAGAGAAGCAAAATATTCTCTTTGAAAAAATAGATGGTCGCATGGTGGAAAGCCTTAGGGTATTAGAATCTAGTCTGCAGACAATTATGATAGAAGAACCAGCAGGAGCTTAGTTCAGAGCTTCAAAGTGAGGCTTGTGGCATGGCACTGCTTTAACACTTCACATGGGGAACCAGAGAACTCAGTTTTAACCAGATTGGTTCATCCTAAACATTGGTTCTATTTGTATGAGAAAGATAAGAAATCCAGTAGACCAGGAGATCAAACAAAATTTGAAGGTAAGGGTTTGCTGAGAAACCCTTGACTCTCCAACACCAACAAGCCAGGAATAATTTCATAGGATTTAAAGTTTGGGTTACAACATAGTACCTGTAATTAATAACAACGTATCATGTACTTTAAATTTTCCAAGGGAATAGACTTTAACTGTTCTTGTCACAAAAAAATTATGTGAAATAGTGAATATCTCAATCTACCTGCTTCACAATGTGCATGTATTTCAAGATGTTATACTGCATAGTATTAATTCTTTTTTGTTTAGTTTTGTTTTGGTTTTGAGACAAGGTCTCACTAGGTCATTCAGGCTGGCCTTAACCTCCCTCCTCAGCCTCCCAAGTGTTGACTTACAGGTGTGGGCCACCATACCAGCCTCTGTATTGTTTTTCTTGATCAAGCTGGTTTCTAGCATACTCAGGGAGTTTCTTACTTACATCTCACAGTGTGTAGTGGGGAAGGTATTTTGTCAGTGTGCTTTGGGGGGTGGTCTGAGTGGGAGAGCCGGTGGTCTGTGTAGAAGCAGTTTCCCTGCTGCGCTGCTCAGCCACGCTGACCTCTTCCCTGTTCTTGCTGCAGGATCACCACCACGGCAGCCTGCATGATGGACCTGCGGAGGTACCCACTGGATGAGCAGAACTGCACTCTGGAAATCGAAAGCTGTGTGTATCTGCACCTGGGTTTCTTTCTCTTCCACTTTGTGTTTCGTTCTTGTTGTTGTTTAGCAGCTTCTCCCAGGCACTGATGATGTTCTCAACATACGTTTTTCACTGTCTTAGAAATTAGAGGTTTAACTCCAGTTTGCAAATTTCAGTCTCATAACAGAGGGAGGGAAGGGAGAAAGGAGAGAGGTTTAGACAGAGACAGACTCAGACAGAGATAGACAAAGAGGTAAGAGAGAGGAGAGGAAGAAACGGAAAGAAACAGGAACACACAGGGAGAGAGATAGAGACAGAGTGACATTCGGTACAAACGAATTCTTTACTGTAAGCTGGTGAAGAGGGCCCATGTGCCAGGCTGAGACACGAGAAAATAAATGCGCCCCATCCCAGGCCATTCAGCAGGAAGACAGCAAACACGAGATGCAATTTCGGTACAGTGTTTCCTCACGCATGTGTGACAGCACCGCTGGGACCCTGGACAGTCAGCGTAAAACTCGTTTTCCATCAGGACCTCAGCTTTACAAGCAGGCCATTGCGCATCTCAGCAATTTTCTTCAATCTGAGGAGTATTCAGATGGTTGATTGATAATTCGGTGCTGAGTACTTCTACAGGAGGGACAAGAGCTGCATCTCGGCCGGCTAACAAGCAGATGTCCCTCCTGCCTGAGCCGCACTTCGAGGCATAACAGGGTGCTGCTGCCGGTTTTGTTGCTGATTTTGACCCATTACAGACTGGCTTATCTTGGGCAGCGCGGGTTCAGGCTTGTCAGCTCTCATCCCGAGGTTCTGGCGGCCGGGTGAGCTGGCCTGTGCAGGGCCACCTGACGTGGTGTGAGAGGGACGTGTCCCCCGCACACGCGTGCCGAGACAGAAGGTGGGGGGAGGCTGGTGTCCAGGTCTCGGCCGGAGCCGACCGCTGTCCCGTCTCTTCCACACGACGTCTTGTTTTCTGGGCCCTGGCTTCCCAAGACGAGGGACATAAACCCCTGTCACGTGAGCGTAATGGAATCATCTGGAGACCTTCACCACAGGGAGAAGGGCTCAGGGGAAAGATAATGACTTCCCAACAGATGGAAGGCTATGCTGGGCGTTAGGTGGATTAAATTCCCAGGCCACAGGGCACAGCTCCAACGAGACCTCGAGACTTTCAGGACTGCACATCTGGGGTCTAAGTAAGGAAACAGTGTCTGTTTTCACTGCCGGAACACGTGGCGGCTTCTGAGAGTGTGGCTTCTGTGGAGGTGAGATGCGTGCAGTGGAGGAGAAGAGCAGGAAGGTCTTCCATCAGACAAGGCCCTGCCCTGCACATGATCCATGCTTCAAACGTGTGTGCGAAAAGGGCTTCTCCCAGTTTCCCGGTAGTCTCAGTCTTCATATCTCTGCACTGGGAATGGAGAATAAAATGGTGTGGCTTTATTTCCTGGTCTGAGGGCAAGTTCATTGCTCCAGGAATTTATCCAGCAAATGGGTACTGGATTCAGCTCTGTGCAGACACTCCCTTTTGTTGTTGTTGGGTGTCAAGCCCAGGGCTTTGTCTGTACGAGGCATGTGCTGCTGCACTGAGCTGCAGCCCGGCTCCTATGCAGGCAGTATGGTAAGTATGAGGATGTAGAGGGAAGTCAGACCAAGTGCCCATCTGCATGGAGCTTATGTTCCAGGGAAGGCAGCAAACAGACCGGAAATGAGTAGTGACAGATGGTTTGAAGGAAGCAAAGCCTGATATAAGAGTTGTCGGAGATTGGGGGGGGGTTCATTAGAGGAGGGGTCTCAGGGAGGGTTTCTGTGGGAAACCTTCGTCTATTTAGATGAAAAGGTGAGGGAGAATGAGCCCAGGGAAGATCTGGAGGCACTGAAGGCCTGGGAGCAGGGTGCTGGTCTGAGGCGTGGGAGGAGGCCAGTGAGGCTGGGCCACTGGGTGAGGGGCAGGGAGCACAGGCACACGGGCCACTCCTGTAAGGGCTGGGGACTTGTTTTGCCAACTGCCCTGGGAAATGTTGGAGGGTTTCAAGCATAGGCCTGGCGTCGAGGCATGTGTTTTATTAAAGACTGTCAGGGCTGCCAGGCAAGAGTGGGCGGTGAGGGGCACACAGGGAGCGGAGTAGATCCAAGCATCACGATTCACAGTCAGGACAGCCAGGGCGCTGGGAGTGGCATCAGCTGAGGGGCGTGTGTCCAGTGGCTTGCTCCCTTTGTCTCCTGTCAGACATTTCTGACTGTCTGCCTTTTTGGTAGATATGCTCAAATGCAAAAGTCTACTATATCAAAGACATATCTTTAGATTTATGTTTTAGTTTATCTTAATTTAAAAGGTTGGCCTGATCTCCAAGGAGACACCTGGCTGTTACAGATAACATGGGTCTTCATTGTCCGGGGCAAACATTCATTCTCAGGGAGCACTGGCTTAATTACCAAGTGAGTTGGAGCACTGCACCAGGAGCTGGCTTTGGAGCTGTAGTCTGGCTGATTGCTGCCTTTTTTCTGATGGTATCACGAGCCCCAGTTCCTCGGGGCCAGGAGTGTCCCACCAAAGGCCCTTCTAAGAGTGTTAAACCTTAGAAGGAAGGAACCCATGAAATCCTCTGAACATGCAAGGACACCACTATTTTGCTTTGAGAGCCGTGTGATCAACCGTTGGTTGGTTAACTTCTCCCTATTGTGCGACGTATTGATAGCACTTGGGAAGAGCTGTGCTCCAGAGTCTTCACATTTGTCCCATCATCTCCTCTTCCTCCCATCTTAATCCTTGCCATTGAGATGTGTTTTAAATTCACTTCGGCATGAAGTCTGGGCCAATCCTAAGGTTGTCCTTTGCAAACCAAACTCTGGTAAAAGCCTCCGTGTCCCCTGTCTTTCTACTTCTCAAGATCAGTGCAGTGTAAATCCCACAGCACGAGCAAGGCAAGAACATGTACAAGTTAGTTCTCTGCAGATGCCTTTCATACATGAGTACCTCTGCAAAGCTTCCAAGTTGGGCAAAGCCATTACTTCCAGTTTATGAAGGGGAGCTTTCGTAGCTGTGCATTTGTAAAGCACGGCGGTGTCTCACGGCCTCCGCGTCCCTGCTTCTCTTCCCGGTAGATGGCTACACCACAGACGACATCGAGTTTTACTGGCGTGGCGGGGACAAGGCCGTCACTGGAGTGGAGAGGATTGAGCTCCCGCAGTTCTCCATTGTGGAGCACCGGCTGGTCTCGAGGAACGTTGTCTTTGCCACAGGTGAGTTGGGCGTCCACTCCCACTTCCATGAGGGCGCTGGCTGGACAGGCCTGGTGGTTTCTCTGTGGACTGCTTGGCCGCTCACAGAGGCACCGTGATCAGTAGCTCGGTTAATACCAAGCCTTTCTTCCACGTCTAAAGGGGACCGAGAGGCTTGGATGGATAGGCAGGACCTCCTAGAGTGAGATACTCCCTGGGGAATGTCACTGAAGGTGAAAGAGTGAGCACGAGTGTAGCCAGCCGATGTTTGATGACATCCTTGGGCAGACAAGAGGCCCTCAGTGGGTGTCAGGCAGGATGGAGGAGAGAGACTAGGGGAGACGGTGCTCTCCTCCCAGAGCTGGCCACCTCCCCCAACTCCAGCTGGACGTCAGCCTCGATGGTCCAGGCACCAAGGCTGTGACAGTTGCCTTGCCCTTTGAACACGGCCACCTTGGGATCGTATCTGGTGAAGGTGGCCCTGGCCTGGGCTTCCTGTCATTCTTGCTGCAGTTGTTATAAGAGTAAGATGGTGTTTTCTGCTCTTCTGTCTGTTCTTGCCGAGGTTTTACAAAGTGGCAGCGCTGTGTGTTATATGACTTGCCTCGCTTGCTCGGTAGCTTTGTCTTCACAGGGAACGCCGTGCCTGGCGCTGTGTGAGTTCTAAGGCATTGCCAAATGCACAGACTTGGGGATGGGGATGCTAAATGACGCCGGAGCTGCTTTTGCACTCGAGCAGTCGCTGGGGAGGACCTGGCCCTGGCCTATGACCACACGCATAAAACAGGCATTCTGCTGTCTCTCCTGGACAAGGAGGGCTCCTGACCCAACCACTTGCTTCTGTTTTCCCCAGCCAGCTCTGATCATCTAGGTTCCACTTTTTCTAGAAGCCCTTTTGACTGCTCTACCCAGAAGAGCTCCGCAGGCTGTGTCAGGTGGCTGCTCTGCGTCTCCGCAGTGCCTCAGGGGGACCTGTCCCCGTCCTTGCCCCTCCTCGCCACAGTCCGACACTGTGGCGGTCGTCACTGAGTGAGCAGACATGGCGTCGAGGCTGTCATCAGCATCGCTCCTCTGCACTCCAGCCTCCGTGAGCCCACGCATGTGAGATGTAGAGACAGAGCCTAACCAGGCCTGTTTCCACGCAGTGTTGCTTCATCCTCTGCTTCGAGAGGTGCTGCGAATGCCCCAGTCTCTGTGGGGGACCTACTCAGGTGTCCACCCCTCATGGCCAGGGAGAGACAGACAGCAGGAACTCAAGGTTAGCATTACAGAATAGTGTCCTACAGCAAGAAAACTGTCTTGTGGTGCATGGAATAAGTGACTTTTACATCTAACCTGGGGTATAAACCGCCCCATGCTGCAAAGCATTGTGTGCCAAAGGTCTGCCCAGAACACAGGGGCAGCATCTTCGCAGGGCAGGGTCACGCCTTTACTGCTCCGTCTAGGATATGGCAGTCCCACCCACTAGCGTGTTGGCACAGAGTCTTAGTTCACATTCATGCAGCTTCATCAAAAAGTGTGCGGAGGAGCTTGTGCAGGGCTTGACTCCCCTGGGATTCTGTAGCCACTGAGCATGGCCTTCTGAAATCCAACTCTCTCTAGGGCTGTCTCTGTCTGGGAACAGGTGTACAGTGGGACACATGTCAAGCCTGGCCAGGGAAAATCCACGCAGCAGGTGTGGAGGAGGGTTTAAGCTCTTTGCAGAGCCACTGGGCCATCAGGATGCACCATCCTATCTTCTTCTAGCATGTCCTGAGACCAGTATCAGCCGGGAATAGCATGAGATTTCCCGTCACTCACATGTAGAACCCTCTAATCTTCAAAGAGTTTGGCCTTTAAAATCGTCCTAATATACCCATACGTGAAGAAATGGCTTGAACTTCTTCACATTAACATATTTTACAATCAAACCCCGGGGTCCACTCCACTCACTATATCACCTCAAGATGAATGGCTATTGGATTAGAGAGGAAATTTAGCCAGTATTACCAAGTACATAACCAAATGAATCTTTTCTGCAAAACAGATCATATGTAAATGAATGACATTATGTACTCAGATGTTTAATGCACTAAAATATCACATGTTGAAGAAGCCTGTTTGGCCCTGGATAGAAATTAAATATACCTTTGTCATAAAGAGGGAAGCGTGCTCTATAACCGTGTTCTAACACATGGAAGAACCAACTAAGTGAAATTTTATAAAAAAATAATTAGTTCCAAAGAAGATTTAATAAATACCTTTTGGAGAAATTGTTTCCACTCACTTGGAACTCCAAAGAAAATGAAGCAAGACCGTATTACTCTAACTTCAACTACAACCTTTAAAACATTTATTCAGTAATGTACCTGGGAGACTAATATTTGATAAATTCAGTCACTTAAAATCTAAGAAATGAGGGGTTGGGGATGTAGCTGAGTGGTAGAATGCTGGCCTAGCAAGTATGAGGTTCTGGGTTCCATTCCAAGCACATAAGTAAAAAATTATAAAATGGTAGGGATAATGATTTGACCAAATTTACAAAGCAAAGATAGAATAGTGAAGACAGACGTTAATTCCCAAGGCTCCTCATTCATAGGAGCCCCTGACATATTTTTAATAAAGATTTCCCAAAGTAGGCTTTATAAGCTTTAAGTGATAATTTTCCATACTTCCACACATTCATCTTTTTTTGTTGTTTTTTTTTCCTGGTACCGGGAACCGAACTCACGACCTTGCACTTGCCAGGCAGGCGCTGTGCCGCTGAGCTACATCCCCAGCCCCCACACATTCATCTTATAATAGTTCTTACCTAAAACATAAATACGTAAACTTTTAACAAAAAGTGGTACAATCCACAGTGTTGGTATGGCAGACAAAGTCTGCAGTGCCCGGATGACTGTAGCACTGACACGCCCCTCTCCTTTGCAGTCCTGCATTAATGTGTTGCGGATGAGCTGTGGTGTTGTACAGGTTTCCAAAGCTGACATGGGGATTAGAAGTCCCTGAATCCTAACTCTGAGCACATGAATTTCTTAATCTAATGACCAGAAGTCATCCATAGCCGTCCCTCAGCCCTATGCTTCGGCACTGCGCCTTATCTGCTGCAGAGGTCCCTAACCTCATCCGCTCTTCTTCAGATTAGTTCCTGAAACCTGCAGTTTAGTTCTCCCCATTAATTCTTTATCCCTCCCACCGTCGATCACTTCTGCATTCTATTTCTCAACTTTCGCTCCTGTTTTATATTTTTCTCTTCTTCCTCCTCTTCTCCTCCTCCTTCTCCTTCTCTTCCTGCTACCTCTTCTTTTTCTTTCTATCCAAATGTAGTACATTCATCAGCGATCAGTTTAAGTGCAGACCTCTCTGCTTGATCTTCTTCAAGCTTCTCTGCTGGTTCCTTTTCCTTCGGAAAACTTTGAATTTTATCGTAATCACTTCTTTATCACCTGTCATGTATTATTACTGTCACACTTATGTAAATCGGGTATTCAGTAAGGATCTTTTGAGTGAAACTTGGGTTAGTTTAGTTCTTTGGAATTCTTTTGATTAAAACTTGAAAAGGTAATTGGCCTTCTAAATAAACTTTAGAAATATTGCAAGAGTTTTGTTTACTGAAATGTTAAACATTATCAACTAAAAGTTCAACCTGAACATGCCTCTCAGAAAAATATTTAATAAACCAAGTACTGCATCACTTCTGATGAGTGAAATTAAAACCAGCAGGAATCTCAATGAAAGAAATCTTTTTCACTCTTTTATCTGTTTAGTTAAACATAATAAATGTGCCTATTACCAAAATATTTGAGATGTGCCCAGCAAGTCCTCACTGAATGTCCTTAAGCAATTTGATTTCAGTTGATCAAAAGAAATGTGAGAACTTAAATTGTCAACCTCTAATTACTGAACTTTCTCATAGGCTCTAATTAATTAATGTGTACTTGCAATCCTTGTAATTTTTCTCATATTTTAATATTTTATAAAACTTTTATAATCTTTGTAACTTTAAAGATAATCTGCATAAGTTTTCCATATGTGCACATATAAAGATGTTAAAAGGTAAATACGAATAGCTAAGTGAATTATCAGTAAGTATCAGTCACGTAATGGCTATGAAGGCAAGAAGTAGTACAAGTAGTACAAGTTCTTCCCCTCCCTTTCTCCCCAGATAACCACTGCCTTACTGCCTTCTGGTCAGTTTTGCCTGGCTTTGAACCATCCTTCATGGCTTGATAGCATTTGGATTGTTCTGTGACTGTTCTTCAAATCAACCTCATGTTCGCGAAACCCATATGATCCCTGTGTTTGGTTTACTTTCTGTGCTAGACAGCTTCACAAAAAACCACAACTACTTTGTCCACGCTGCTGCTTATGCACACATATGAGTACTGCTACTGTGAGCAGTCTCCTGCCCATCTTTCTGTGAACATACGCACAGGAGTGCACGTCTAGAAATGGAACTGTGAATTTCAGACTTAATTGGATATGCCAGAATTTTCCACAAAGATAGCATCAAGTCCTCTCAATGCATCATGCCTGGATGGCCCCTTGGCCTTACAGCCACGCCTACCCCTGGCATGGAAGTTGTCTGCTGGGAGTGAGGAGCTGTCATGTGATGTAACTTCCATTTCTCTGAGGACCAGTATGGTCGAGCAGCTTTCCTGCTGGCCTGTTTGGAGATCAGCTTTTGTGAATCGCTATGCTGGTCTCTTTGTCAATTTCTTACTAATTTTTGGAACTTTTTGTATAATACATATGCAAAGATTAAAATTAAATAATTAGATCTTATTATAGTTCACATGTGTTACAAGAGTATGCTTTTTACATTTGTGTCTATGGTCTCCCAGGAACTTATTTTTTGAGAATGGTGTGCAGTATGCATCAGCTTTCAGATCTTGCCCTCTGTGTGTGTGTGTGTGTGTGTGTGTGTGTGTGTGTGTGTGCACACCCTCATGCACATCTGCACCAACACTGTTCTCTCCTGTGGTTCATTTATTCATCTTTGTACACCATGGTACTCCTGCATTCTCTAATCTACAGAAGGT